CAAGGTACGTTCCTGCTCATCAGATTGATCAATACCGCTGAGTTTTCGTTGACCTTCGTTCACGTCTTCAACCATTTTTTATTGAGGTTCTGAAGTCTTCAAGCAAATTCCATTCAAGTTCTGACGGATCGAATGCGTGCGAATGGAGTAGGTTCATCATGTAGGCTCCCTGAACACGGTGCTTCTAAGCACCAATTGATTATGGGATTATATCAATACGTTCTTTCGAGCCAGATTCAGTGAGCAGAAAGCAGATATTGCATGTCGAATCTAGCTTGATTGCATGATGATATGCCAGCTTTTTATGTTGATTATGCTTTCTGATTTTGAGTCGAATCAACAAGCTATGATACTCCGTGTTGATTTATCCTTATTATTTTCTGTTGATTTGAAATCAACATTGATCAGCAATTAATCCCATTGTTGAATTATTTTCTGTTGATTTAGTCTTCTATCAACACCGAATTGACGAGATGCACAAACGCTGATGCAGATAGAAGCTTTCATATGACCACCCTCAATCCGGTTGCCTGACGGCAAGAGGGCAAGACATGAATGCTGCTGCCTCCTCTGCTGCTGCCACAGTAGTGCACCATTGTAACAGGAGCCACCACTGGTATCCCTAAGGCTAGCGCCGGCTTGCTCCCTTGCTCCAGCCTGTAGGCCTGAGGTTGCCCCGACTTCCAAGGCTGGAGCGCCTTGCTGAGGGCAAACGGGTACGGCCTGTTTGAACTCTGCCGTCAGATGAAACTTTAAATTAACGGTTTCAGGGCCCTTGTTAGAACGATCATCGCAGCAATCTGGTTGATCCGTAGAACATTCTGAGAAAAGCACAGTCCTGTACAAACCGTTGCGATGATCAGAAAGAACGCGTTCTAACGTTCTAACTTTTGATCGTGGCCGTCCGGAGCTCCCGACGCTCCGAATTGCGCCGTCCCACCGCCGTCCCACGTCCCACGCAACTGTACATGGCTCGCCCATCCGACGTGGTCAAATCAATACAGTTCCACAGTTCCCTTGGTCGAAAGCATCCTACGGTCTACAGAACGCCGATCAAACGCACTCAGGTGGCCATTCTCTTTGCAACCCTGACTCTGAGTAATACACTGTTACACATGATACAGGCTTGGTGAAGGTTTGGCACCGCTTGTTCAAAACGTCAGTTCTGACCCCAGTCTGTGAAGTCTGAAGGTGCTTGTTCTGCAGGAGAGAACAACGGCTCTGTCTTTCAGTCGAAGCGCCTTAAGTGGAGGCGCTCTGAGTCTCACCAACCGGGGGGTGGTGTACAAGGCAAGACGTTCCTACCTATGCCTCCTCCTGCATGTTTGAAGTTTTGCAAAAATATCTCTGGCAATGTTGGATAGGCCTTGCTTATATGTACAGCATATCACTTGCATATTGAGCTACCTGCTTTCAAGCACCTTCAGATCCTATGACAGTTGGTCTCTGTCCGAGCAGGAACTGAGATGCCTCCAAGGCAGCTCAGCAGGTAGATTAGTGGCCAAAACGAACTGGCTTGTCCTCTGTTGAAGGCTATGGACACAGTGAGGGTTTGACATGGTGTAACGAAGGGCATACAACTTTGCATGTGGACTTCTTCATCGTTGGATTTCTTGAGCTTGTCAGTGTCAGTATTGGAAGCTGACCTAGTTCTTGACTGTGCAGGACCGGGCCAGGCGGTCTCTCGTCTGTTCATCGCAGAAGCCATATATCCACGTAAGCTGTCAGCATGGCATCTCTTCACCTGTAGTAGGACTGCTTGTGACAGACAATGGTCACATAGTTGAAACTCTGGATTTGTTGGTCACAGCCTTGGCACACTCTTACAACGAGCAGATTACAAAAAACCCTATCTGCAGAAGAAGCTTGAGGCTGTCAAGTCTGCTTTGAGCAAGTTGTGCGTGCAGAGTAACAAGCCCGGCACATGTGCGCAATCAGCGGATGCACAAACTCCTATGAAGAGGAGGCTGAAGCATGAGGCTGTTCAATTTCATCTGAGCAAGTTGTGCATGCAGAGGCCCCTGAAGCCGTTGCCAGCCGAGATGATGAAGCATGTGGACACTCTAGTAAGGGAGCTAATGCTGGAGCGGATGCAAGAGCTGCTCACAGAGGTAAGTTTGTCAACCACTTGGCTTGTGGATGTCGTGCTGTGGAGGTATATCATGAGTGAGCAGGTCATCTGAAGGATATTGCTTGCAGATTTTGCCTCCTAGTGCACGCCGTGAAGTTTCATGCTTCATGCTTTCTCATGTCAGTTTTTCTTGATGTTGTTACAGCATCCTGCGGCAATTTTGAGCACCTTGAAGTCAGGTTTCAAGTTGTAGTAGCACTTTGTTTGGATGGTAGCAACTGCAAATTGCAGGCTTGGTCGGCAACTCTGATCAGATTGTCATCTCACCGAGGTGAATGAATAAAGCTGATCCTGGCAAGCTAGCGGATCTTGATCCAAGTGACCTGCTGCTAACTCATTAGCAACTTGCCTCTTGTAGGAGATGAAGAAGGACCGTCAGTCTCCGGACAAAGTAGAACCGACAAGCTCGCGCGCAGTTACACCAGTGGAGAACGGCGGGCCTTCACAGACCCCCTAGCGTCTAGTTCCTCTTTCAAGATGAGGAATCGTTCTTGGTAAGTAGATCTTATCGAAGTCTTTGTTGGACACCCCTGACCTTCTCTGCCATCAGCACTTGCACATTTCCATCTTTCTAAGGATGTCCTTACTTGCAATCCTTGTGTGACGATTACGTCTGGTTAAGCCTAACCTCGTTCTCGTCAGGATTTCGTAAGCTGCTTGTTAGCGAAACGACAGCGGTTACGTCTTAACGGCGCGCTGTGAGACCGTTGATATACGGCGTTCTATCCAGATGACTCGACCTGGTCTTGTCTATCTGTGATGC